AAAAAAAGTCATCCTGAAAAACATGCCTTGCCTTCCAAATTGCAAATGCTGGCAGGCTGACATGATGTTCTCTTCCTCTCCACATCCAGAACCCCAGAGCAGATGAATGCATCAGTGGATTTATGATACATCTCTGTTCCCCCACAGATTCTGCTTTCTAATATCATCACAGTGTCCAGCTAGAGCTTGAAAAAAAACTCCGTGTTCTATAGCAAAATCCCTGAGCTGCAAGACAACTTTACAGGAAGTAAGCATTTAACCCAAGTAATTTTTTAGAGCAGATTAGACAGACTTGACAGATCCTGACTTGAGCAGGGGGCTGAAGTACATGACTTTCTGAGGTCCCCTCCAGCCCCACTTTTGTACAATTCTATGAAAATCAACATTAGCAAAACAGATTAAGTTAAGGTTCCACTAGTCACATAATTAGGCCCTGCTCATTGGGAAAGGCCAGTGAGATGACGGAGTGCAATGTTCAAAAGCACTCAAGTCCAAATCCCATTTTCAAACATCATGGATGACTCCCAATTAAAGTCATGGAAATATTACTATTATTAAATAAGAATCAACAGTTCAGGAAAGAAAGCAATGTTTGTTTGTTTGTTTTTTTCAAATATTTTTCACATATATAGCACATTTTAAAATGCTGAATTCAATTTCTAGTCAATATGTGAATGATATTAATTGGCAGAAATAGAATAAATAGTATATATGCAGAAATAGCAGAGCAGAAATAGTATATATGCACTTTTAAAAGTCAATAATCAGACAGCTTTAGCCAGATACAGAAAAAAATATGCACCAACAATTATTTGTTCTTAACCATGAATTCATGTGAAATTATTTGTTACCTTTTCTAGTTCCTTAAAACATTTACACCAAGGATGCTCACCCCCTAGCCCATAGTCCAGAACCAGCCTGTGAAACTTATGTCATCTGGCCATCAGGGCTCCTCACAGATCCAAAAACTGGTGGCAGGAAAGCAATGGCAATGCTAATTGCTGCTTGCCTGCTGCCATATTTCCAGACTCATTGGGAGCCCTGGGGTCCAGATAGTATGACCCTGTATGCTAGATTTGGCGCACGCAACCAGAATGGCGCAGGACCCAATCTGAGCATATGAGGTCCAGGCAGCAAGAGGCAGGATCCAGGCTCAGAGGGACAGATTCAGACAGCGTGAGGTGATGTTAACCCTTTATAAAATTGTGAATGAATTGGCAGTAGCTTTTGGCTGAGCAACCAAAAACAACTGCCAATTCATTAGCAGTTATGAAAGAGTCAGCACTGGACTCTGCCCCTGCTGCTTGTTGTCCTAGGAAAAAAGGGCATTTTGGAGCATAGACTAACCATGAGAAAAGCAGGTCTAGACCACGATTCTGGAAAAATACTGTTTTCTATATTCTGCCTTCCAAACCAAGGCACATGTCTAATTTGGGGGGTGTGCGGTATGCAAAAAATATGTCGGTTATACTAATGGACACTGAATAATTTCATATGTATTTTTCAGCTCATATATGAGTTTATAATCACAAAAGTGTATCAAATTCTCTCAAGCATTGAAATATAGGATACTAATATACTAACTCTATTTTTGTGTAATACAAAAATAATCAAACAAGACCCAGATGGGTCCTAAGGCATGTTCTGTACTTTACAATTCTGACTTTACTCCTTCATTGTTCATTGAAAACTTGCAAGAATAATCTCCCAATAAACTCATGCATTTTCTATAAAAGGGGTGATCAATCCCTGGCCCATGGACCAGATTCATCCCCTGGTGCCATGTCATCCAGTCCCCAACGGGTCCAAAGATTTGGTGATGAGGGAGCAGTGGCCTCATTAATTGCCACTCCCCTGCTGCCAAATTTCTAGACAAGTGGCAAGCCCTGTGGGCTACATAGTGTGTCCCAGCATGCTACATCAAGCACACAGGATGGTGCAGGGCCCAATCCCAGCATTCAGAAATGGCCAAGGCTGCACAGGGCCTGATCCAGGAATGTGGGACCAGCCACAGCTGTGCAAGGCCAGGTAGAGGGCACAGGGCTTGACCCTTGCATGCAAGGCCTAATCCAGCCCACGTACTAACCCCATGCCACTCATCTGGCCCATGGGGCCAAAAGGTTTAGTGCCACTGTTCCATAATACTTCCAATACTTAGGGTCATATTGCAACCTCTTTGATTAAAAAAAAAAAAAGACATTGAGAAGAACCACTTCAGCTCATTAGGTTGTCAGCATGATGAAAGGAGTTAGGAGACGTGTCAGAAGCAAAGTACAACCCTACAGGATCCCCCAAGAATAGACTTGGAACTCAAACAGGCACTGTCCCTTCATGCTACTCCACTTTCCCCTGGGTAACAGCTTCTTAGTAAGACTTGCTGATATTAGCCTACGCAATCTTCTCCTGAGAAAAAGGGATGTTGCAATATGGACGTTTATTCAGCTTCTAGGAGTGGTTCCTCCTTCTCTGAGGGCATTGCTGCTGAACTAAAGGAAAGCATGGTAACAGTCACTCAGTCTACCTGGTCTCAAGTGATATCAACATCCTTAAGTCTTGAAGATTTGGGGCCAGAGGCAAAGAGTGTGCAGAGGGAAGCAGCTGTCCTTATATTCCTCTGCCCACTGTTATTTTTTTCCTGTGTAAGCAGAGGGGACCACCCAGCATGCAAACCCCTACCATCACGCACCATTTCCCAGAAAAGCTTAATGTATATCACCAACCTTAAGTAATCCAGTTTGACCTCTTAATCACAATATATGCATGAAGGTAAACTGATGGTTCATAAATATCTATCAAACAAGTATTGGAATTACACCAAACCACTTCAAACTCTTTTGTTTTATCAAGGGAAACCAATTCAGGTCATAGTCAACTCAGACAAGTGTGAAGCTACCACCAGAATGCAAGCATGTAAACCAAGTGTGTGGTGTAACATCCTGTGCTGTGCACGAAGGAGCTTTTTCTCATGTTGTATACAAAACGTTAACAGAATCAAGGCAATGCATTTCCAAGTCGTGGCAAATTGTTCCAGGCTTTAACGTATGAGCATTTGGTACAATACAGAAGGCAAGTTTGTGGGGGTGGGGTGAGAGGGGGTGAGCAGGAATTAAAAGTGAGTTTCCTAAATCCTATTTAACAAAAGTTCTAGGTATTCAGCACTTTTGAAGTCATGTAAATTATTTAGGCATCTATATATGGGATTTGGAGCCTACCTTTATACACTTAAAAAAAAAAAAAAAAAAAGAAATCTGACCCAGACTTATTACTGGACATTTTTTCATACACTGATTACCAGTTACCCATTGCCACTGAACTTTCCCATCAAGATTGACACACACACTGTTTTAACTGACCAGGACAAAGAAATAAGAACCCAAAGCATCCACAGAGTGGAGCATCTCCTTGCCTAGAGCAACAGTCTACTGATACTGAACTGTCACAGCAGATCTTATACCCGTTCCCCACCCAGATCCCGGACTAAAGGGTATGGCTGGTACACACCTGGATCATCATCACTGTCCAAAGAAGCTGGAAGCAGTTTGCATGTAACAAATTAACTTGGACACCTCTCAGGTTTCACACCAGTTGTCATTCCACTCTTCATAAAATCACTATTAGTTTCAGCAGTCAGAAGGACATGGATCCAGAGATGAGGTGATGTGCAAAGGTTTTCCCCACATATCCAGATCTGTAGAGAATATCACTAGTCCAGACAAAAGCAGATGTGGTCTAGCCGCCATCTCAATTTTGTCTGAAGTAGCCAAAGCAACATCCACTCCAATCCAAATTTGATCTATTTTCTTTCACAATAACCTGAAATTTCCTCACAGTGGGAAATACTTTAATCAGCTGAAGAGGAAACATTTCAGACTGAGCTAGTGTGGAATTAGTCTGTAACTCGAAATGCTGCAGTTTCTATTCTGGGACAAAACAGCTTTGTTTCCTTTTCTCCACAGCCATCAGCTAAGACCTTGCAAACCATATCAGCCACAAGGCCTAAATCTATCTCACTTCTGTTTGATGTAAAAAAAAACCCATGTGCTCTTAGCTCTCCCAATGCCTAGAAAAGGTCAGCATTTAAATAAAGAGATGATTTCTGATATGACAGTTGATGCTGGGAAGAAAACAGAAAACTTAAAAAATAAAAAAGCTGCACCCTCCATAACTTCTTACATGGAGAGCTCCTAAGGTATGCTGAAAAATAATATAGTTTGCACCTGTTTATTTAGTTATAAGCAACTGACCATTATAAGGATGATTGCAGTTCCTAAACCTAAATTATGCTTCATTAACAGGTTATGTAAAATTACTATGTTAAAACACAGCTTGACTTGTAGAATCATGAACTCCCAAGTCTTTGATTTGCCACTTACTCACTGGCAGGTAAGTCACTTCTCTGCCTCATACAAACTACCTTTCATTCATGGAAAAGCTACTTGTCTACAAAGAGGTGTTGTGTGGATTTATTCTTCATATTTGTGTAACCCTAAATTTGTAGACTGAGATGCACTTCCCACAATGAAATTTAAATACAAGAAAATATTGGGAAGAAAGTGTGTGCGTACAAGAGAGAGAAAAAAAAATCACATCTCACACCATTAGCACAAGGGCTATAATACTTCTTTCTACAGAGAAAAGGAGTTGTGAATAGAGAATAAGAGTTTACCAAAAACATCTATAAAACAAGTTAGATAACTAGTAAGACACTAGTGAATGATAGACTGAAACGTTATTAATGGAGAGAGAGAGGAGGAATTTTTTTTATCTATATTACAAATAACTAAAAGTTAGAATATCAAATGGAAACATTACGTTATGACTGAGAAACAATTTCTGCTTAACTGCATGTTTCACTCATCATTTTCCCCCTCATCACCTTCCCCCTCTGGTCCTTCTCTCTCCAGCTGCACATTATTGACACCAATGACCAATTTCATAAACATTTAATTTTTTCACATCAATTTTTTTCTGTATTTAATATGTTAGCAAGGCCACCATACCTTTTTCTTGTCCACAAATTTCTACCACAGTTGTGTCCTAATTTAGGTCAAAAATATGAAGACTGTGCAACGCCAGTAAGCAAGCAACTAGATATCTAACTATAGGACTTTTCCCATCTTGAGTGTTACTCCTCTTGGTTCATCTTCTTCCTCATCAACAAGGAAGAAATCCTGAAGAGTATTAGTGACATCATCTGTCAAAACACAAGAGAATAGACTTAATCCAAGCCAGCTTTATCTGCCATACAACGAATTATAATATTGTTATTACCCAAAGATTGTAAAGTGGCCAAGAAAGGCCTCATCTTAAACAGAATAATAATAAAAGACAAAAGGGCTGAAAGAGACCTCAGGAAGTCATCTAGTTCAACCTCCTGCTGTAGGTAGGATTACCCCTGTCTACACCAGTGTGCTCACAGGGTAGTCCACAGAATCTAGCTGCAGAGCAACCCCACATGTCAGAATTATCTGGTGTGCCAGGACCCTGTCATCCAACACCCAGGATTCCCCATGCGTGTGGAAGTTTGATAGTGGGGGAGCAGTGACAGCATTAATTGGTCCCAGAGCCAGGATGATTACCACTACCACCACTCGCCCACCTCCAAATTCCCAGACTTGTGGGGAGCCCTGCAGGATGGATGACTTAAGCCTGCAGGTCAGAGGTTGAGAACCACTGGTCTAAACTATCTTGGATAACTGTTTGTCAAACCTGCACTTAAAATTCGGCCTCTCTATGTAATCTGTTCCAGTACCAAATCTACTCCTAGCTAGGAAGTTCATCCTAGTACGCAACTTAAATTTTCCTTTTCCATAATATCTAGATCTTGCCACTCACCCTCCTTGTGCTATGAAATTATAGTACTGTGTAAGATAGTACAATAATTCAATGAGTTACTGACCATTCTGTTGGGAACAAAGCACTTGGGGAACAGGACAAAATACACATAATTGTTTTGTTATGACAGCATGCACCTGAAGAGTGATGTAGATATAATCCTGGCTGTGTGTTTAGGGTCTAGGCTATGCTGGCGTATTTAAAAGGCCACAAGCTTCCTTGGCTGCGTTACACAGACAGGATTATAGTAACATCCTGACCGGAATTAAAAGCAGTGAAACGAAAAGAACATATCCCAGTGTTGAAGCCTTTAATGATTTCTTTTGTTCTGAAATGAGACATCAACCAGCAATTCCAGGGTCATGGGTTCTGGTTTCAAATCAATACCCCAACTACCTCCATGTAAGATTTGAAGACTTGCAAGCATACTTCTTTGCTGCATAGGATAAATATCATGACTGAGTAGGTCTGTCTGAATCCTAAGTGGTTCTAAGCAGCCAAGCAGCTATATGATAGTCTCCAACAATGTTCCTACATACCAACAGCAAGAAGCCAACAAAGAAGGTATATGTTAGGGCTGTGCGAACCTTCAGGTGATGATTTGGTTCAGAGGAGATTCAGCCCAATTCAGTGGGCAAATCTCTGAATCCAGAGACAAATAAAAAGGTCCTAATCGATTTGGAAAAGATTCAAAGAGCTTCGGAGAGATTCAGAGAAGTAGGCAGTCCTCGCTTGCCACTGCAGGCAGCTGGACCCAGACTTTGTGCCAGTAAGTAGGGGGTGGGGAGGGGGATGATGGGGGGACCCCCACCAGGTCCCATCCCCTGCCTGCTCCCCCAGCCTCCCCAGAGCGTCCCCTGACTCCCGCCCACCCCCCAGTCCCGTTGGTAGCTGCCCAACCGGCCCCAGCATCCCAGGTCTTAAAAGGGAAAAAAAAGCTCCACACTCACTGGCTGCTCCCAGCCCCGTGGCTATTTTAAAAAAACCCATAAAAACAAAAAAAGGCTCACAATCACCAGCTGCTGCAGCAGCCATCAAGGCTTCATGGGGGCTCATGGTAGAGCTCATGGTAGAAGGAAGTGCAGGGCTCTTCCCCCCCCGGGTGAGTGCAGAGCTCTTTTTTCTTTTTTGCTTTTGCTTTTTTAAATAGCCAGGAGGCTGGGGCTGGGAGAGTGGGCAGGGGATGGGGGTTCATGGCAGAGCCCCCCACACAGCGCACGGTAGTGGGGATTGCTTCCCCCTCGCCCTCCCTGGCAGGAGCCAGTGAGTGCTGGGCTTTTTTTGTTTTGTTTGGGGGTTTTTTTTGTTTTGTTTTGTTTTTTTAAAAGAGCTAAGACACTGGGGCCTGTTTGATTCAGAGATTTGGCTGATTCAGCAGCGGCCAAAGGCCTGAATCAGATCCAGCTGAATCGATTCGGGACAGTGATTCGAATCACCAAATCGAATCACTGTTCCCTGAATTGGCCGAAACCAAATCCAAAGTAACTACTAGCTACTTTGCACAGGCCTAGTAGATATGCAGTTAACAGCGAATACTTGCAGAATTAGTGTAAACTGTGTCAGAAGAAAACAAATCTCAGAGAACAAGTTAAATACATGTCCAGAGATATTTAATATAAAATTAATTAAAAAACCTCCTGAAAATACTGAAAAATATCAAATATTCATCTAAATGTTGCCTCTACAAAAAATATTAGATGTTCAGAACAATCACTTATTTTCACCCTGGCTAAACTGTGTTTTCAACTATGCAAAGATAAAACATGAAATTAGCAGACATAACAGGAATTTCAAAAATTAATAAGGTAGGCAAAGTCTTTGTGTAGAGGCAATATCTTTTATTAGACCAACTAAGTAGTTGCAAAAAAGTTGTTATTTGCAAGCTTTTGGACACGCATCCTCGCTCAGGCAAAAAAAGGAAATTAAAAATAGTGAGATATGAAAGATGGTCAGAAGGTTTTAGAAAGCAGTTCTACAGGAATGCAAGTTTAGGAGGATTGCAGGGAACAAAAGCAAGTTGTTTACCCTCAGGTATCAGATGTCAGCCAGGTTGGAGGTGGGGGAGAGCAATAAAAAAAAAAAAAAAAAAAAAAAAAAAAATCAATGTTAAAAATTAGTCCTAGTTGTTGAAATTGGCTTTTTGTTGTCTTCTTCACATTGTGAAGTTTCCATTTCAAATGGCAAAATGCAATATCTTCCATAGCCGTGTCGATAGATATCGCCTCTATCCAAAGATTTTGCCTGCCTTCTGTGCTCAGACCAACAAGGACTAGATCCCTGAAAGATTCATAAGTGAATTCAGGGGGTAATCCTGTATGGATTAGAACAATTCCTGAAAACCAAAGAATAGTAAACAATTTAGGAAACAGGTCCACAACTATCTATAAAATTAAACTTTTTATGAAATGGGCTTTCAGTTGACAAAATAGGGAACAAGTGGTGCCTGCAGACATGTGGGGATGCTGCTTCAATGTACTGTAATGACAGCATGACAGAGCAAACTTGATTAATTGAGTCTCCTGAAGCATGCTAATCAGCATGCATCAGCAGCCTCCACGTCTCGTATATTCAGTGTTCCCACATTTCAAAATGGCAGCAGGGACATTTTAACTAAAGCTCTTTGAATGAGGCTTAGCTAAAGTGCCCCTGCCACCACTTTGAAGTGTGGGATGCTAGATACTCAAGATGATGTGGGAGCTTTAATTAGAGTGGCTCTTAGAGCCACTTTAATTAAAGTGCTTCCCAGCCCCGAGAATCACTGTAAAGACACCCTAAAATATGACTCTTGAAATATGAACTGAATTTTCTCCAAAGAAATATCCAAAAAATAATGAATGCTGGATTTACTAGAAAAGTGCAATTAAGGTTCAACACTATAAAATGTTCTAACCACTAACCAAACTGGTTAAACTTTACACATGCAAATATTTTCAATGGGACAAGACAGACCCGCTTCTATACAATTTGGGGGCATATTTCATAATTTTAAAACCTTCAAAGCAAGTTACATATTAGGCAAAAAATACAGATTGTTTACAGAATTAGTTGGCAGAAGAGGTTACCTTGTCAAATTTGCTCTTAACTCTTGTTAACCAGAGGTCAAGTTCGATGTATTTAAAATACATGCAAGAGGTTTGTGCTAGCTTTTTTCTTCTCAAATGCTGCAGCTACAGTATTCATGGCCTGACAATTTTATAAACCATCATCTCATAATAATGATATACTAAAAATGATACTTCTAAGAGTAGTTTCATCTTTAAGAGGCCATTCTAACAGGAACATTACATTTTAAAAATACACTAAATAGGATTATTTAAATACTCCCATTCAGGCTTTAAAAAGTACAACGTATAAACAACTAAGACATTGTAACATCATTTTGTAAGAATGTGAAAGAAGTTAACATTACTTCTCTTTGTAGATATTCTTTTGAACAATTTGTCATATGCATGTAAACAGCATATTGCCATTTTGTTGTTAATCATTACTTTATTGACTCCACATTCATAAAACAAAATAATGAGGTCCCATGCTTTTCATCGTAAAACATTATTTTTACCTCAACATCCAATAACCAAAGCAAGAACTGTAAATATAGAACTATCTTCCCAGCTGGTACATGTCTGCACAAAGGAATTATGTTGCTTGCTATTGGGTGAGGAAACGTCTTTTACTTAAGAAAACCTTCATATGATTCAACTATCTGTGGTTGCCTGTACCATGATATTCCACTCGAATTGCTTCTCAAAAAAAGCCATTTTTAACAGACTCCTTTGAATTTTGAGGAACAAGCTCTACCCATTCTCTCATCCTAGTGGATAACAAGGTAATCTATGCATATTAATGCTGAATAATTTAACTAAACCTCCTTCTATGTCTGCCTTTTCTTACAATTCAGGTATTAAAAGTATTTGCCCTTACCAGGTGGCACTCCCTGTTTAAAGGTAACAATATGGGTACAGGAGGAGACGTGATTAGCTGTGTTAGTCTGAAGTCAGGCAGGAAATATAGAATGGTGTTAAGAGCAGGACTGCCCCACTCATGGCCTACGGGTCATGTGTAGTTCCTAAGGGGTTAACACATGGCCTACAGGCTCCCGCTCAGCTACTACTACTCCCATTCCTCCTGCTGCAGTGGCAGCCAAGGTCCCTGGCCTCCCCCTCTAGCCTCCTGCTGTGCTGCTCTATCCTACAGACCCACGCCCCACTCCTGCGAGCTTGGCAGGGTAGCATAGTGGGAGAGAGGGGAGCCAGGGAAGTGTCAATGCTGCACAATCCATGTATAGCCAGGAGTCCTAGATACCCATGTGGATGGGGGGGGCAGGGGAGGAAGGTGTCAGAGCCAGGCTGCCTGCATTGC